GTGTGCACTTACTGAGAAACGAAGGAAAGACATAGAGCAAACAATACAAAAGAGCACTTCAAACAAATAACAGAGTGCTGTTATCTCCTTCTGACAGTAGTTTTACTTTGCAAACCCATCAATTCAGTAACTGAATAAATGCTATTCTTATGACAAAAACCAAATAAAACCAGTTCCTGTTTGTGTATTGAGTGCAAGTAGCATCCAAGTAACACTTAATTATTACTCAATATTCGCGATAAAGTAGAGTTGGTGGTTTTCCAGGTATTTCTAATGTTATTTGTAACCAAACCCCCTGGAGATCAGTCTAACACTCTTAAAAATAAATCTTTCAAAAGGGGATTTTAACAGCAATGCCATAGAAGAACCATTTTGGTTCCCAGAAGAACCTTTCAGTAAACAGTTAAAAAAAAAAAAAAATGTTCTTAGTGTGAAGAATATTTTAATAATTTGAAGAACATTTTTTTCTTCCACTATAAAGAAGCGTTTGTGAAATAGAAAGGTTCTATGGATGTTAAAGGTTCTTCATGGAACTGTCAATGCCAATTAAGAATCTTTATTTTTAAGAGTGTACTGAAAATTAATATTCTGCACAGTGATCACAGACAGTCAGAACATATTTAATGTTTACACAATTTACACATTTTGGACTTGTGAGATTTCACTGTGGGTGGACCTACCTAGCAGAATGAGTACGTTCTGCACAGAATCAATTATTGATGAAATGTTAAACTCGATGTGGTGGTGTCTACAGTTTTCAGAGTTTTTGTTTTATCCAGCTGTATTTACTAAGTGTTGGAAAAAGGATCAACCCCCTCCTAAAAATTACTCAGTCGGGTGTAGCTAATCACCTTCTCAATGGCACACAAAGCCTTGACTTTCAACTGTGATCAGCTGTGGTTTTAAATCCTCCATCCGTGTTAGTGATTTAGCGAGCAGACACAGACATGATCACTTACTCTAACAAACAAAATGCACATGACCTGGTCTGCTAGTAAAAGCAGGACCTCATCCTAACAAATCTCCCTCCAAATGCACAGATGCAAAGACGAATGGACAGATGCATGCATGCACGCCTGTACACGTGCGCACACTCTGGAGAGAGGCAGGGACAGGAAAATTTCAACCATTCCATTTCAGTGGTACCCAGCGGATGGCTCCCCAGTGGCGGCGGTACACTCTGAACATGGCCAGAGACGCTCACAGTTCGGAATTTGACAAAAAATGAAGTGTCTTTCTATTCTCAAAGAGACAGACTGACATACAGACAGTGAGGATGGTGACAGAGTGATGCAGAAATAACAAAGGGGCATCATTGCCTTCTCCATCTCTAACCACAGTGAAACCAGCTGTCAAAAGAACAATGAAAATAATGTCGCATATTGTACAGCAGTTTATATTTAGCTTTGTAAATGATGATTTCCAGTATAATTCAAGCGGCAAAATTACATGTGTGCACTTACTGAGAAACGAAGGAAAGACATAGAGCAAACAATACAAAAGAGCACTTCAAACAAATAACAGAGTGCTGTTATCTCCTTCTGACAGTAGTTTTACTTTGCAAACCCATCAATTCAGTAACTGAATAAATGCTATTCTTATGACAAAAACCAAATAAAACCAGTTCCTGTTTGTGTATTGAGTGCAAGTAGCATCCAAGTAACACTTAATTATTACTCAATATTCGCGATAAAGTAGAGTTGGTGGTTTTCCAGGTATTTCTAATGTTATTTGTAACCAAACCCCCTGGAGATCAGTCTAACACTCTTAAAAATAAATCTTTCAAAAGGGGATTTTAACAGCAATGCCATAGAAGAACCATTTTGGTTCCCAGAAGAACCTTTCAGTAAACAGTTAAAAAAAAAAAAAAATGTTCTTAGTGTGAAGAATATTTTAATAATTTGAAGAACATTTTTTTCTTCCACTATAAAGAAGCGTTTGTGAAATAGAAAGGTTCTATGGATGTTAAAGGTTCTTCATGGAACTGTCAATGCCAATTAAGAATCTTTATTTTTAAGAGTGTACTGAAAATTAATATTCTGCACAGTGATCACAGACAGTCAGAACATATTTAATGTTTACACAATTTACACATTTTGGACTTGTGAGATTTCATGGACCTAGGACCTACCTAGCAGAATGAGTACGTTCTGCACAGAATCAATTATTGATGAAATGTTAAATGGTGGTGTCACACCAACATGTCAGGAAAAAAAAAACAGAATCACTGAGGATCACCCCCTCCTAAAAATTACTTGTAAACTCACCTTCTCAATGGCACACAAACCCATTTGGCTTTCAACTGTGATCAGCTGTGGTCATTTTGATGAGCTCAGCATGAAAAGAGCTTTCCTGGAGCATTTTTTAAGTCCTTGGTAGTGCAACTGAAGTAAACTATCAACTATGGGTGGCAAGGCACTGTCAAAAGATCTCCGGGATAAAGTTGTGGGCAGGCACAAGTCAAAAGATGGATACAAAAACATTTCAAAGGCTTTAGCAATGCCTAGAAGCACAGTGAAGTCTATAATTACGTAGAAGGTATTTGGTACAACACAGACCCTCCCTGGATCAGGACGTCACT